CTCATAAGCCAATCATGTGGATGGCCCTTCTCTGTACCCTGTTGAGCTTATCTGCATCCTTCTTGAAGTGTGGTGCCCAAAGGCACATTATAACTGTTATGTTTTTAAGATTCTGTTTGTAAAAGCACTACACACATTAATGCAGTCATATAATCATTATTATTTTTATAATTATTTTAATTGTTACTATTATTTTTATGTTATTTTTATGAAACTGGCTAAGAACCTAAGTCATGCTTATTACAAAAAAGTTGCAACAAACTAGAAAATTCTACAACCTGGAGGTCTTTGGGACAGTTCTTTATATTAGTTCTTCTTTCTCCCACTGGTAGGAGAAAACATTTATCAGAATGAGAGAGTTGGAGCCCTCAACTCCTGTAGCCATAATTAGAAAAGCTGTCTAATTCTAGGGGCAAGTTTTTAGACTCAAGGATTCTCAGATGCAAAATTTAAATCTCATGATGACTCCAATGGCTTTCCAAGAGAAGCTGACAGCAAACAACAGGAACTAATAGATATTCATTCTGACAGAATCAGCAGTGATTGATTCTTGTGTTTCTTTTCCCTTTCCTTTCAGCTTTTCCAAGAGACAATACTGCATAAAACTGCTACTACAAGCCATGTTCCTGGAACATACTAGTTACGTCACTGGCATCAGTTTGAACTTTGAGCATTTCAAAAAACATTTGGAGTTAGAGTATGCTACTGAACCATAGGTACAAAAAGCAAAAAAAAATTAATATTTCACAATGCTAAAAATATTATTTGAAATAATTTGATTTCTGTTTCAAATTAGCAGGCTATCATATGGTCATTCAAAATGACATGATGGACTTTGGGGTTCTTCTGCTTGCTTGTTTTTGTTGTTTTGTTGTGGTTTGTTTTTTGCAATCCTTGTATTCCAAAGATATCTGTATGAAAATGGAAGTCTTGGGGAAAAAAAGTTTGCTTTTCATATTGTTAGAAAGGAAAGCCGGAAATCTGGCTGTAGACTTGCGTTTAATTATTCACAATCAAAATACCATTCTAAAGTGAAAAATATATAAATATCAAAAGCCAAGGGAATTATATCTGTGCCATAGGAAAGGAGCTGTCCTTAAAAGGACAGAAAATTAAAGCTGTTTTAAAAAAACTGCTAAAGAACATTTGCAACTAGAATGCATTATTATGAGTTTGGCAAGAAATTATGTTTCAAGTATGACTTACTGCCTTGAGCCTCTGTTTAAAGGAACAATCTAAGCATAGGAAATGAATTTATAGATATATAATTTTCCAGTACTTGGTTCAGAGACACAGACTAAAGTCGTAATCTAAGTTCACCCTCTACCATCCTTCTCAAGTTTTAGCTGGCCACAATATTCAGAAGATAATTCTGGCAAGGGATAATAAAGTTGTTGCTTAACTGCCTATTAACGTACCATACAAAAATCAGACTAGTACAAAAACTTGATTCTAATAATGGCCAATATTAGTGTACCAATTTCCAATGACACTGATACTGACCACTCTTAAAAACAGAATGCTGGGTTAATCGGACAACTAGTTTGATCCAGTATAGCAATCCCTATGTTCCTTAAATGAACAGACATTCTCTTTGAAAAACAAGTAACTTGAAAAAATTCCAGATTAGGCATGGGAGGTTTAGACACATGGGAGTACCCAGATAAGCACCAATAGCTGGCTTTCCAGATAGGTAAAGACTAATAGCAAAGGAAGCTCAAGGTACTCAGCACTTCTAAAAATGAAAACACAAGATTTCTCAAGCACTGTAAGTGTCCAGGACTCCCCAATCTTGTTTCCAGGAAGATTAGCCTTGTTGTTATTTAGTGGGCCCTCAGACACTGTGAAATGTTCAGAATCTACAGTGTATCTATGAAAATTCATAATTTAAAAATATAGCACTTCATCTGTACATGGTGCTTTTCATACATGACGACTCCAATGTGGCTTACAAGTATTGGTGAACTTAACCCTGCAGCACTGTGCTTCATGGATTATTATATCATCCCTGTTTTGCAGTTAACTCACTTCTTACCTTCTTTTTATGTTTTGAGCTTTAAAAACTTTGCACTGATAATGAATCTCTATATAGGGTGGACAGCACTGGCCCTTTCTTTGTGGGTGGAGAAAAACTGAATGTTAGCATTAATATTCCATGTAACATCCCAGTAACATTCCATGCATTGAACCACGCAACAAAGCTAAGCAGCACTACATATTCTTGTATATAACTTGCACGTTTTTACCCAAAACCAGCTGCTGGAAATTGAAGTGTGCATTATATGTGAGAAATATAATCAAAGCAAGGTCTGCTGCTTATGGGCAAAACCAAAAATAAAACCTGCAGTGATCCACATAGAGCAGGCTCAGCTCCCTAGCAGCTGCTACTCAGTTACTACAAATAAAATTGTTTCCCCTTCATTCTGCTTTTCAAAAACAAGATACATATTATGTTCTGAGGATGTTGTATGCAAGAAAATATGGTATTTCACCTCTTAAACAGGTTCCCACAAAGAAAGAGAAATAGATCTATTCTGTGAAATATGGTGTCAGTCTGTGTCCAGGCTGATCAAAAGAAATACTTAAATGTCAATGTTACAAACCATACCTTCCATGACATACACCAGTGAACCCACATCTCCTTCTTTGATGATGCAACTGTCTTTGCCATATTCCACTGGATACATACAATCCACAATCTCCTGGATCTGAGATATTTCTAGATTCTTCATGAAGTCATTGTCAAGGATTGCTTCCTTTATTAGTTCCTTGGACCTATGGCAAGAAAGGTAAGATTTATCCATGTATCCAGTAATTTAATTCAATCACTGTATGTGATGTTTAGCATGTTCACACACTGCCATTATGCACCAATGAAAGCATTTGCTTGCAAAGATTCCAACACTTTCCCAAAAATCTGAAAACAAAGTCCATCTGCCAGAAAGTGAAAGATAGAGAGGTGTGTGAGAGTATTCATTTTTGAATGCTTATCATAAACTGAACATTAGCTATGCCAAAATTTAAAAAGTAAATTTAATATGTTTACAACAGTCTCTCTCTTTTGGCCAATGATTTCATGTGTACACCAACCTCACTAGAATAATATATTTACACCAGCTATTCTCCAGAGAATGTATTCTCCATATATAAAATAGGAATGACATACCAAAACAGAATGCTTAAGACTTTGTGATGTATACTTTATTATGTTTTATACTAATTATACAAAATAAAGAATACAAAGGTTGCAATATAATACATTTTGGGTAAGTATTCTGTAGTATTAATTGTATTCCAAAAGTTCAAATACAGTATAGGAAACATCATTATTACAGAACAGTTTAATTCATTATTTTGGTTACTTATTACTGGTAAGTTTAGGCAATTATTTTATTAACAGATATATATATATATATATATA